GCTTTTTTGGCACACGTGTTGTATGTTGTCACTTGAATATGTCATTACTACTACGGGGTAATGGAGAGAACATTGCAATGTTACCTGTATCAGTATTGTATCATAGAGTTGTCTGATCAAAGCTTCAACCCTTGTTGTAACCCTGTGGGTCAGTGTGTTAGCAGATCAAGTCAGAACAGGTAGATGAGGGAATCACTTCCCTGTAACGCACACACATAAACGCACCAAGGGTCACTAGGAGGTCAACTGTAGTAGAATGTTCTGCAGGTTTGTGGATGCTTGGCCTAATGAACTAGGCATAATATTAACTGGCTCTTTGCAGCCAAATTTACTTCTTAAGTTTTACACTGGAGCTATGAGGCTAATGTAGCAGAGATCTCACCAGTTTGCCCTATACAAATAACGTACCGAGGAATAAATTGTGTATTTTTTTTTCTTAGCAAACTATCGCTTTAACATATGACCAGGTCCAGATGGCAGCATGATGTCAGTCCCACCACAGATCCTCACATTGGCTCTTCTTCCAGCTTTAGAGATGCTATCTATTAAATAGTGCATGACAGAGTCTGATCTGAGGTCACTTTCATTGGTTCTCAGCCAGTTCCTTGATCAGGTACTTAAGCTTTCAGTAAGCTGTGCTACCGTGTGAGTTGAAGGCAGCTATTCTGAAATAATCATGAATGCAGTGAGGAGTTGGACCTCTCTACACAAGCTGTAACCTGGCCTTTTTGCTCCTGACACTTACCAATGGTTCGCATCTTGCCGTAAACTCTCTGAAGTCATGCTGGTGTATTCTTTGGGTTTAACACGTCTATGTCTACATCCTGGAGATTGTTCTTGTTGTGTTTAATAGTTAAAAGGGATTTTCCTTATGCAGTCGTCCACTGCTTAGTCTGCTGTTTATTATTGCTATCAAGTCAAGTGATCTTTGTTGTCATTTTTTAGTGTAACTTGTCAACAAAATGTTCTTCAGGCCTATTGGCGCTTCACACAACAGCAGCTCACTACTGAAGACTACATAAAGTTCAGATGCAAGACAGTGTGAAACAATGACCATGTTGTTCATATAATTGTGTTTTTTTAATATTGTAGCATGTTCAAGGAATGTTCCGACATGTTAGTGTTCTCTAGCATTTATTGCACTCGTTCGTTTTTCTGAGGACTTGAGGCAGAGAGCGAACTGTTAGAAGAAAAACTCTGCTTATGGCCAGCAACAGCTGAAAATAAAGCACCACAACCTGTGCAAAAGTTCTGTCTCTTTTAATACCTGTACAGTACAATATTACCATTCTTAACATAACTATGTTCATGCTTCTCAAAAATGCACCAGTTTTTACACAATATTACGCAATAATAACATCAACAGAAACCAAATTCAAATGCCAGAGAATCAGCTCTAGAAAATATGTTAACTCTTTTGAGCATGAATTAAGGATGCAGTGACACCCAGTTGGTCAAGAATCAACTGAGCAGCCAGTTGTCTGTTTAAATCAGAAGAATGAGTTTAAAATGGGCTGTAATGCCTTATGAGTATTACTATCATCAAATTGAAGTTGACATCCTGCACTATAACTTCAATCATTGCTTCATTTTAAATCAAATGTGCTGGAGCCCAGAGCAAAAACAATGAAAATTGTGTCACTGTCTAATTAGTTAGGGACTGCACTGTATTTATCACAATACAACTGTATCTATTACAATGTGTCAATACATTCAGAGCCGTTAACTGTATGTGAAATAATGATATCTGTTTGCATTCACCCAGTTGACTTTATATATGGCTTTACATTGAGAAATAAATGATAAAAAAGTCATGATTACAGACATTTTGATGTCAGATAAACTGTGTGTAGAACCATAGGGCCTCTGGTCTGGAGCTCCCCATGAATGGACCCTGCTTGCCAAAGTGACCAAAGCATGCAGCCAGCTTGCTGTTTTCCCCTTTGGGGCTTCTTTCTCTCTGTTCAGCGGAGAGAACATAGCTTATCGGTCAGGACAATCAGATTAGTCTTGTGCTTCGTTCCTGCCTGTAGTCAGGTTCAAGCCAGTTTGTCCAGGTGTTTGTGAGTGAAACACCCGCCCCAACACACACACACACACATAAGTACATACATTCAAACATACATAACTAAACACGTGCATGTTTGTTAAAAATTCAAAGCATTACTATATTGTCCAGAAAGAAGAACAGCTTGTGCATAAGAGATTTGTCATATGTCAGCATTGCTGATGTAGCAGGCTTGTCACTTTGACATACTACGATGCCATGTGAGCTGATGGAGTATAGCTGCTGTTTATACACGCAAGGGTCAGTCCTTGTCCACATTCCATGAAGTCCTGACCAATATATGCAGGGAACCCATGCTCTCATATTCAGTGGTGACATTATAAACCACACACCCTCCCTATGTGCCCTTGTGCAGTGTTCCAGAAAACCCAGACCCAAATGACCCAGCACAGAGATGAGGAAACCCTCTGTTTAACCCTTCAACTTTTTAATACTGAGCCAAAGCAGCTGTTTCTTCCTTTTAGTCCACTCTTTTCCTTTGAACAGAATCCCACCATTTTTTTTCTAAATTTCTACAGTTCAGTCATTAAGATGTATAGAAAGTCATTTAGAGTGCTTTGCTATAACATGGTTGATTGTGAAGATGGTTACTGACGCAGATTTCTTTACATATCAGTAGGAACCAGGGGTTGCAATGTCTACAATGCAAATATAGCCATTTTATTTACTATTCAAAACAACCAGTGAACCTACATGTATTATCTGAGTTTTTATATATAATGTTGATAATATAGTGGTAAATTGGAAAAAAAAAGTTTTATTTGTGTAAAGTTGTGCCTTGCAATGCATGAATGGAATAAAAAAAATAGACAAGTCTAAAAACATATCTCAAAACTATTGTAAAATAATGTTTCAGGCATTAGGCAGCATATTTGGGACAATTTTATGTAATACTTTCTCAGAGGGAGCTTTTAGAGACATGAAAAGCTTCAACATATCTTTTCTCTACACTTCACCTCAGTTCACTTCAAATGACTTTAAGTCTTAATAAAAGAATCATGCAGGAAAAAATCTGTGGAATTCCCCTTTAATAATGCGATTTCGTAATGATATTGCTGCATTTGTTTTAATCCAACAAAACTGAAACAAGTTCATCACATTTTCTATAAACAAACAAATGCTTATAAGATTATATGCACACCTCAGTTGTCTTTTGCTACTGATCCATTGAAGCAAAACATTACGAAATCTGAATTCAGTTCTAAATGGGTACATATTTTCACTTAGAAACTATCAACAGTACATCCAACACTACTATTAGTATGGCCAACATGGACACGCATGTGCTTCAGCTACTCTGGCAACAGATTTAGAGTTAATGAGGACTTTGCCAAAGTCTGTGACCATATCGTAGGCAATATGTTTGGTAACCCCTGCATGAAAAGGGTTAAACCACTAGTCTTAACTTGACTCTCACAATCTCAGTCAAAAAAAAACACACTAAGGATGGAGTCTCGGAGAGCGACAACATGGGCCTTTGTGTATACGTGTGTATGTGTTTGTAAGTGGGTGTGGACGTGGCCCTGGGGGCCTACCTTGAGGGGAAGGCAAGCTGGGGGAAGAAAAGCAGGATTGGGGCTGGAATGGCAAAATGGCAGTAGGCAGCTGAGATGGGAGGCTTAGATGAAAGCTGGCGCTTTGGGTGGTCTGTTGGGTAATGGTCTGCTTGGGGCACTGCGCTGGGCTCTGTCAACGTACAGCTCCTTTCTGGGCCTTGTTTACTCATGCAGGCGGTCATATGAATCCATACCGCTCCATACTGTACCATCAGAGGCCTTGCCTGCCTCTAGCTGGGTATATGTGTGACATTGTGTTCATCTCTTTGATGGGTTCCCATATTTCAAACATAATTCATGAGCATCTTAAGCCTTTTAAGGGAAAATCCCTTAGGGAATTTCTTTTTTAAAAAATGTAAAGACATAATCAGAGTAAATTTGTCTTCTCTCCTGGGGACAGGACTGTGCTTAGGTCAAAGCAAATGGAAAACTGGCTTTGTGACTCTCAGAACAGATGTTTTATCATAATGTTAGTATTGTGATAAAAAAAGTGTCCCTGATCATTTCGAGGTTGTTGTAGAAAAATTGTAAGGTTATTAAACTTATAATTAATTGTTTAGACATTTTCACTTATTTAATTGTTACTTATTCTATTGGCAGATGTAGAATGTTTCTTAAAATAATCAAACTTTAATAGAATAGACATATAATAAGACAGTTTCTCTAGATAAAAATAATTGAATATTCTAATAATATGCTTACAATCTCATAAAGAGAAATACTCTATTTTCTCAACTAGATTTAAGATATTATCAGATATTATCACATATTTTATTTGTAGCTCAAATTTCAAATTGGTCAGCTTTTATTTAAAAAAGTTTTTTGTTTTGTTTTTTTGTTTTTTTTTTCAAATGCCAATTAGGGTCCTAAATTACACTCTTGATTAGACAGGTTTACGCAATATTAAAAGCCTCATTTAGTGCGTTCACTAAAAAGGTGGCTCTGCCCCCAGCCTTAGGAAACAAGCCTACCATACCATCTTTGAAACCAACGTAATGAAGGTAGTTTGAGAGAGGTTGGTCTTGACATTGTCCCTCAGGTATTGGCGTAGCTCTAGAATGATTCCTCTCACTCATGTGCTACGTGCAGAAGTGGTTCACTGCACCTGAGGGTGTTTTCTTATAGACCCTGCTGACCTTAACCCTGTGGACAGCCACACTGAAATGTATAAAGATGCGCCCTTTGAGTGATTGATGCCTCACAGTAATGTATGCACCGTAGGGTTGCCCTGCTGATCCCTGCTGTCAGCCTGCTGTCCTCCTCACATCACAGCTGCTACCACAAGACCTGACCTTAGTGTTAATGACTTACATAGCTGAAGTACAAGTTCATCACTCTCTCATTTTCTCTATTTTTTTTTCTCTTTGTACCATCAGGGACCTGAAGCTTGATAACATTCTGCTGGATGCTGAGGGTCACTGTAAGCTGGCCGACTTTGGGATGTGTAAAGAAGGCATTCTGAATGGCGTCACTACCACCACCTTCTGCGGCACACCGGACTACATTGCCCCTGAGGTACAACAACCTGTAGAAGCAGAATGATTTCTCTTCCATCGTAAATCAGTCTGCTGTGGTTATGCAGTCAGTCCATCATGCACTGTGGCAGTAGTCCTGATAACACTGAATGCACGTGTCACAGCATATTTCGCACACTCTCTCTGTCTTTTTTTGTTTAGATTAGTCTTTACTGTAAAAACATTAAATATCATTGCAATAGTGATCATTTTGGAGATATAAGTTTTTCTTAGGGTATTGTCGAAATTTCTACATTTTTAGACTTTAACATTTATTTGGTCCAATTGTTTAGAAATTTCGTCACTCCGAGATGATCACTTTTTTATGGGAGCAAAAATACATATCTTTAGCTTTTAATATGCAGCACTGCGCAGAAGTCTTAGAAGGCATCTAAGCAATCTCTTTAAAACATTTATCTTGGCAATAAGTGTGCTTATGCTTCTAAAACCTATAAACTTAAGAATACATTTAAACAACAATAAAGTAAGCCTCATATCGCATTATTTAGGTGAATGTTTAGGTGATGCTGTCTACTGTCTACATTTTGTTTATTTTATTAATTTTAGTGCATTTGTAATCTTATACAAATACATTTCTTAGTAATGTTAATGCAGGTGGATCTAGTTCTAATTTCTACCGGTTTTATATTCTTATCGGCAGATGTATAAGAATAATATCAGATATTGGCTTTCGGCCAACAATTTCCATATCACTGCATCCCTACTTAATACTACTTTCCATAAGCAGATGTTTGTAAATGGTTAACAGTTAAATTATAGTATTAATACTGGCTGTATCTGTTCTAATATTGGTGTTTTTATGAGCACTTAAAAATTTACCGCTGGATGAAATAGCTTTTTAAATACAATTTTCTCAGGTACTTATGACCTCTCCAAGTCATTTTGGACTACCTCTATTGATCCATTCATCATGAAACATTGCAGTATAAAGGACAGAAAAATTAGGGTTTGATTTGACAGTGATGATTTATAAATGATTTTTCTAGAACTTTTTTCCTTCTCCTAGAAAAGTTCCGTTTTGGAAATGTTCATGCAACAGTATTTTCTTCCAATCATATGCTCTTGGAAGAAAGATTGCTATCTGATCTGTATAGTTAAAATGCTAAGCTTTGTCTTTACCTCATACAGAAGACTGTATATAAAACACCATTCCCAGTGAAATGCTTATAGTTGCTTCTCTTTCTCTATCTCTCTTAGATCCTGCAGGAGCTGGAGTATGGCCCATCAGTGGACTGGTGGGCTCTGGGGGTGCTGATGTATGAGATGATGGCGGGCCAGCCGCCATTCGAGGCTGATAATGAGGACGATCTTTTTGAGTCTATTCTCCATGATGACGTGCTCTACCCTGTCTGGCTCAGCAAAGAGGCCGTCAGCATCCTTAAAGCAGTGAGTGATCTCTCTCCAATCTCCTCACACGCCCATGTGTGCTTGGGACGGTATTTGTACTTGTAGGGGACATTTCGTCCCTGTTTCTGGCTTTCCTGCTGCTTGAGTGGTCTGCAGTGTCTCTCCTCTGACTCTTTGGCTCCTCCCTTACCCTTTCACCTATTTCCCTTCTTCCACCTCCACCCATTCCTCCTCTCTGGTGCCTCTCCCTCCCTTCCACATCAGCAGGGTTCCTGCGTTTGTGTTCACACACACTCACAGATTCCTAATGACCTGCACAGTAACTAAGCCTGCATTAATGTCTGCAAATTAAGGACATCAGTACATCATGAGTACCTAGTAAATTGCTGTAAGTTGACATTAAATGTAGAATTTGCTCTCATTAACATTTAATGAGGCATGACATAGAAACACTTGTCAGCTTGATCAGTCAGCTCTGTGATTTTCCATTTCCAGGAATATTGTGGCAAAACAATTACACAATTTTCCTTTTAGATCAAATGTTTAGCAAGTTAGTCAGCTAAGTCAGTTAACTAAGACATCTTTGGTGTTGCTTCTTTAGTTTTGTATTGGAGCTACAAGGCTAATGTTGTTAACAAGTAACAGAGGCATGCACCACACCAATTAACACCGTGCATGCTCTAAAAGTACATCACCTGGCTAAAACAGTAGTAGGAGCCATCTTGAAATCTGAATTTATTCATTTTTATAGATAATAGGATGTCATACAGAGTCACACATAAGAAAGTCTATTCATGATTACTTAACAAAGTGACATAGTTTGAGGCAAGTGTGTCATGATTTAGGTGTGCGATTTACAAGATTCCACACTTCCACTACTTGTTAGCTGCATTAGCCTCACCGCTCCATTACAAAAGCAAAAACTTTGCACAAACTTTGGCTGATCGACTACATTTAGGACAAGAGGAAAACTGTTTAACTGGAACTGTTGCCAAACTTTTCCTTTAATAGCAGACTGTGTCACAGCATCATGCTCTTTATAATGTGCACACTGTGAGTCATGGTTGTACAAACAGTAAGTTTTTATCTTCTCTCTCATTAGTTCATGACGAAAAGCCCGAATAAACGGTTGGGCTGCGTGGTGTCTCAGGGGCTGGAGGAGGCCATTAAAGTGCACCCTTTCTTCAGAGAGATAGACTGGGTTCTGCTGGAGCAGAGGAAGATCAAACCCCCCTTCAAACCACGCATTGTAAGTCCCTTCAAACTCACAACAAAAAAAGAGAAAATACCATTAAAATTCAGTTCAGATTCAAATCTTTATTGACACATGCACTGTAATTCTTACTTTACATGTTCATCCCTGGTGCCAGCTAATTTGTTTCTACATGACCATTTTCTAATCTCTCTCTGTCCCTTCGAATTACTTACTGTGCCTTTAAGACTGACATATGTAAATGAATTCTGTTCTGATTGGGTGCCTTGTATTATACCTCATTAAAAAAGCAATCTAGGCTGAAACACTGCTTATAAATTAAGTGTGAATGGGTGGAGCTAAACTGCTGTAGTCTGCACAGGAGCATATATGTAAATGAGCTGGTTTTCCGTAACATCATGAAAAGAGTGAATTCAATATGGGTTGTTTTTGAAGCTTAGTTTCCATATATGGGCTGGAAAGTGAATAGTATGTTTTGAAATTTTAAGTGTTAACATACTGTATCAAACTTTTTTTATTTCAAAACGGTGAAATTTCCCATGACAGGGGGCCCTTTAAGAATTTGTTTTTCCATTCAGTTTACACCACTAGCATAATGCTAAATAACATTTCACTTTGTAGTAAACAGTGATAATGACTGCCAGATGTCTTCTTAGGAAAAATTGGAAAATAAACATTACTTGAGCTTGGGGCCAAGTTAGATTTTAAAGGGCCCATATAAAGGGACCATATAATTTGAGAATATGTAAATATTGTTTCAAAATGCACTGTTCACTCCCCAGTACATACAGTCCATATATGGAAACCAAGCTGCAAAAAACAGCCCATTCTATATTCACTGTTTCTGTGATGCCAGCACATGTCAGGTTATTGAGCATACAGAAATGTAGCCCTGCCCATTCATGCTGAAGTTATAAGGAGTGTTTCAGCTCAGGCTGCATTTTAAGTAATGCATAATACAGAGCAGTCAGAAAAGAGCTCATTTACATATATCAATTTAAAAGGCACAGTGACAAAACAGCTTCTTTAATTCTGAGGTATAAAGAAAGGTTGGATGGAGGTGTGACACTACTTCTGATTTCCTGGGCAGTACCTTAACTAGGCTCTTTGAGACACACCCTGGGGGTGCAATCAACTGTATTTACATACATGTAATGTAATACAAAATAATATTACAATATAATGTATAAAATGTATTTTATATAATGTAAAATAAAAAAACAAGTAGATATGTATTTGAAACAGTCACATAAAGTGCAGTAAACAAGTAATGGTCCAAATCAACTATTATAGTACAATTAACCTATAAAATGTAAAAGCGGTGGGGGACATCTCGTATATAAGACCAGACTCGTATCATATAAATACTTTCATGTGCTAAATATATATTATGCAGAACACAGGAAGAGACTCACGCCACCTATTTAGAGACTGCCTACTTTAACTGACGCGCACCTCTGTGCGTTTGTGGTCTAGACTGAAAGTCAGATGCCACAACGACATCGCTCTGCTTCTGCTTTCCCATGGTGGGAGAGGATGTGAGTGTGTCTGTATGCCTGCATATTTGTGTGTGTGTTAGAGACAAGAAGTTTGTATCCAAGCATGTGTGGTAAGAAGAGAGGTCACAGGAAGGTGAAGAGAAAGTATTGCGATTGCTTGTCCTTTTGCCTTTCTGATTAACCTTCATCTGACCTTCCTTCATACCACACAGGCTGACACCAAGTTTCTGTGTTAGTAAAATTAGGAAACAAAGAGACAGCGAGAAACGTGTCTCTCTGCAGAAAGTGAAAACATGAAACATGAAATTAAACATTTTCTCATTCTCATCCTAGCACTGGTCAAAGCCAGTAGTGGTATTATTTAGACATTTAAAGGCCACTCTAAAAAAGAAAAGGGCTGTCTTATGATCTTATGACCTCATGATCTACGATAATTGTTGGAATCGTTACACATGAGAGTCACTGACATCTATAACTCACTCAGACATTTCCTTCTCAGTCAACCTTTCCAAAGTCATCCCCCTCATTGTTTTTTTAAAAACGCTATGAAATCAGAATAAACAACATTGCAGTCTGATTGTAAGAAGTACAGTGCTGTGCAAATGTCAGAGAAAGTAAGTACAAGTTTTAGCATCATAGAAAAAGCAGAAAATTACACAGAAGCTGCAACAACTAAATATAACATCAGTTGTTTAAGCAGGGTCCATACTCTGCTTCCATTCTTTTCGGGAGACTTGCTTTCAGTTTTTCAAAGAAATCTGTAGGGATATTTTTCCACACCTCCAAAGTTCAGTCTTAGAAGTTGGTTGCATTTTGTACTTTAACAGTCCAAGTATTAATAACATGAAGGTGCTCGTCTTTGCAGTAACTGTTAGAATACCTTTAGAATACAGTGAGGGGAAACAAGCATTTAGACACATTTCATTTTGTTATTTAATATATTTCCAGTGCATATATCAAAATTCAAAATTTACAAATGTTATCTTCTGATTTTGTACTTACACATATGAAAAGAAAGTATGTATTCATAAACATAAAGATTGAAATCAGTGAGGAAAGAACTATTCAGACACCACAAATGAATAACATTAATATTTTGTTTCAAAGCTATTGTTGCCAGTTACAGCTTTAAGATGTCTACAGTAAGTAATTTGCTTTTTCCAGCATGATAGTTTCATTTTGGCCCATTCTTCTTGGCAGACCATCTTCAATTCCCCAAGGTTACAAGGCTTTCCTCTGTTGGACTCACGATTTCAATATTCTTCATGAATTTTGAATGGGTTTCAAATTGGAAGATTGGCTAAGCACATTCACCATCTTTTTTTGGAAACTAGTCTTGAGTTATTCTGCCTGTCTTGTTGAAGCGTCCATTTCCTCCCCATAGTCTTGGCTGATGATATGAAAGTAAATTCTTCTCTAGAAAGTGCCAATATTGCTCCATTCATGTTTCCTTTGATGACTTATAATGCCCCAGTACCGTTGGCCGAGGAGCAGCCTCATATCTTGATGCTCCCACCTCTGTGCTTCACTGTGGGTAGTGTTTTTTGAAACATATGCCCATCCCTTCTTTCTCCAAACATGACGAGCTGAAATTAGCCAAATAGTTCTGCTTTGTTTTGTCTGACCAGAGTATACTGTGCCAAAAGAGTTCTGATTCGAAATGCTCATGTGCAAATTTTCAACATGCATCTGAGCAGTTTTGCATGGAGTGTCTGAACAGAGATGATTTCTGAGCACTTCTTTGTTTATTGTTTTCTGTGTAACTATTGTTGCTGCTGCTTTCAGGCCGTCCTGCAACTCTGTTGAAGTGACTGCTGGCTTCTCTCTTATCTTACGTGTGTTCATTTGAAGTGGATGCATTGGAAATATATTGCATAACAAAAGCAAGTGTCTCAATACTTGCTTCCTGGGGGAAAAAAAAACTCACAGAGCAGTTATTATTTGGGTGGTGGATCATTCTCAGCAGCGCTGCTGGAGTTTTTAAACACCTCAGTGTCACTGCTGGACTAAGAATAGTCCACCAACCAAAGATATCCAGCCAGCGTCCTGTGGGCAGCATTCTGCGACCACTGATGAAGAACTAAAGGATGACCAACACAAACTGTGTAGGAGTGTCTGAAAGAGTGGACAGTAAGTGGACACAGTGTTTAAAAACTCCAGCACCACTGCTGTGTCTGATCCACTCGTACCAGCGCAGCACACATTAACACACCACCACCAAGTCAGTGTCGCTGCAGTGCTGAGAATGATCCACCATCCAAAAAATACCTGCTCTGTGGTGGTCCTGTGTGGGTCCTGACCGTTGAATAACTGAGTAAAAGGAGGCTAATAAAGTAAGCAGAGAATTGTCACTGTAGAACTACAAAGTGCTCCTATGTGGTAAGTGGAGCTGATAAAATGGACAATAATGAATCCCCCCTTTTTCTCTCTGCAGAAAACCAAGAGGGATGTGAATAACTTTGATCAGGATTTTACACGTGAGGACCCCGTCCTCACTCCCGTGGATGATGCCATTATTAAGCAGATCAACCAGGAGGAGTTCAAGGGTTTCTCCTACTTTGGAGAAGAGACACTGGCCTAAAATTCAGCCTCAGAGTACCTGTCCAAACACACAATACACCCCCCCACACACACACACACACACACACACATACACAGACATGTCTGGTGAGAAACAGAAGGATACAAGAGGATCGAAGCATTGATGGGTAGGATAAGGCAGTGGCTGCAGTCACGGCGAGAGGTCCATGGTGTGCTTCTGAAGCTACTACTGCTTTCGTTCTTTTTTCTCCTGTGTGTTCTTCTCCGAACGCTTCCTCTTGCCTTCTTTCACTTCAGCTCTTTTCATCCCAAGGCCTCTCCAGCCACACTGATGCTCCAGTACTGAAAGCTCCTTCTGGATTTCCAAACTGCTGCGTCCTCTGCAGATGGAAAGGAGGGGTGGGTTTGCACTCTTGAACCAAAATTTGAGGATACCAATGATTGTACTAGTGTTAGGAATCAGGTGCACAAAGAGAAGATGCTGATGATGTCAAAGAAGAAGAGTATGCCCTGCAGTCAAATGCCTTTTTGTGTATTCGGTTGAAATCTTGGGAGCAATTTTGTAACATATAAAAATGTTTGGAAAAAAGGTTTATAAGTATACAGTATATTCCCTCACAGTGTTATGATGGTCTATGAAGAATGACAACCTGCTGTACATGAGTTGTGTTGATCCGCAGTGTTGACTGGTCGGCCTGTGTCCATGTGCATGCATCTGCATGAGTGAGTGCACATGCCATTTTTTTTAAGCTCTTAATTTTGGTTGTCGTTTTCATGTGTTTTTTGTTTTGTTTTGTTTTTGTTTTTGTTTTTGTTTTTCTGCATTGGTTCTCCCTCTCTGCTTGGCTGTGCAGAGCCTGCTATGTTTGTACAGTGCCCTGCCACTATGCAACAGGCGGCATAGTCGAGGGCAGAGAGGCCAGTGCTCGTAGCTGTCTTGCCCTTTGTACAGAGCATAAAATGTACATAATATCTGCTCCAAAGCCTGTGAAAGCTTCAAATAGAGTAGTCAACTGTTGCATGGTCTGGCAAATTATGTCATTATTTGAGTAGTACAAGTCTATGGAGAGAAAAAAAAAGTTTCTGATATCCATGTGCAATACCCTGAAGATATTTTTCTCTTCTGTTTCTGTTATTATTATTATTATTATTATTATTATTTGCTGTTGTTTGTTGTAAGTTTCTCTTGTGTGGTCTTTTGCTGTCACCCCTGCTGATCTCAAATGGTGATGACCATTCTGTGCTTTAGAAGCCCAGGAGAACAGCAGGATGTTGATGTTGGCCTAATGAGGAGGGTCTGTCTCTCTCTTTCTCTTTGTGTGTGCGTCTCCATATACCACTCTCATGTACATAGAACAGAGTCTGTGGAATGTAGTGGAATAATGTGTGCGCTCATAATTTATTCTACAATCTACATACGTGGTTACCCTCCTCATTGCGCCACCAAGCAGTTCGCTTCCTTCTGTGCTTTGTGCGTCTGCATATTTCAAACAAGTAAGCCTTGCTAGGCCACACCCTGATTCTTTTGAATAGGTTTTTCCCCGTGTGATTCAATCATGTACATTTTCCGATAGTGGAATTAGTCATTTATAAAATGTGAAGAAAGCTGAGGAAGAGGTCAGTAAGAGAAAAGGGTCAATTTCAGGCGAACTAATTAAAAACCTTGCTGGAATGTGATGACTTTGCTTGAACAATTCAGTGGCAGATTGACAAATCTCCAATTTTATTTGAAAATGAATGGTTCTTTTATTGACCACTCCCATTTGCCCACTTTTTCTCTTGATTTTAATTGTATGTTCTTATTTCTTAATGTATTTTATGACTTTTTATGTTGTACTGTTGCTCATTTGTCTGTGGGTCAATCTTGGTCAACTTTGCTTGTATTTGTGGAAGCCTTTCCCTACCAGCCGTCCACGTCACCATTCTACCTGTCACCTTCTTTTTCTCTACCATGCCAAACACTTTGTCTCAGCTCTGGTTTGTTTTCTTTCCATTTTTTTTTTCTTTTTTTTTCTGTAAAATAATGAATTTGCTATGTAGGAACCAACAATGGTCTGTCTTCAAAGTCAACATAAATAAAACAAACAGCTCAAACATTACCTCTTAAATTAAGTGCAAAAGTTTGTCTGGCTGAATATTTAATATTTGCGCATACAGTATTAAAATACATAAAGGTTTCATAATGTATGATAGTGCTGTATGTATTATATACATCTTGTATTGGACTTTAGTTTCTGTTTGGTGAAGCTTTGTGTGCACAGAGGTATATCCTTTTTTTTCTGGATACACTAGCGGTCTCATTGTAAGCATTTTATTATGTGCCAAACGTACTGTAATCTAAAGGATGTGAATGTGTTTGGTTTTTGTTTTGAACCTATTAAATAATAAGATGTCAAAAATGGTCTTGTCTGTCTTCGAGTTCTAAAAGTTGCCCTGGAGTGAAAGTGCTGTCGGGCTGGTTTGGTCAGATGCCAAGCAGCCTGTTTCAGAGTCAAATGGTGTCACATTCTTTTTGGAAAAACCTCATATATTATCTCTTGCCAAGCAAGAATCTCTTCAGAGTTCAAAGCTTAAAATCTATCTTATCCTCCTCTTTTAGGATTACTAGAATACTACAGAGTTAGGCTAACAACCTAGTTTAACCTTTAGCCTCAATGTGGATTTGTTTTGTTTTCGTTCCTAGTTGTTTTAATTCTTAGTTACTAATAATAAATGGTATATTAAAATATGATGTCAATATATTCTTCTTCTTCTTCTTATTATTATTATTATTATTATTATTACTCATCTGCAGCTATCAGTATCCAATAGATGCAAAGATTATAAAGGCTGTTATAAAGGCTATTAATATCTAATCGACTCGAAGATTATTATTCATATAATATTAATGATTAATACTTTATTTACATATAAAATACTACCGTTATCATTATTATTACCCATCTGTATTACGACCAGGTCGGCCCTCCTACGCTGACTAGCTAATAGTATCCATTCTGCATTAGGCTTATTATTTCTGGGTTTGGATTGGTTAATAGGATCCCCCTCCTGCGCTGGGATTGGTTAGTATAATATCACTTGCTGCGCTAAGATTGGCTAACAGCTCAGACTCAAAGGATCGGCCTACTGTTTATGAGAATGCACTTAAACCAGTGCCTGCGCAGGAGGCGGGGTCTTGTCGGAATACAGGTGGAACTGTGTGTGAATACGGGTGGGTTGTAGAGTGAACTGGCTCTAACCCAGATAAACAGCAGTAAAGGACACAGAGCTCCAGCGGAGAGCTGTTATCGACCTTTAAAGCGTCCTGCTCGAGCCACCCGTGTCAGACAGGGGGAGGGAGTGCGATCCTCGGCAGTGCTCTGAGACTGCACTCAACCACTTCCACACATTCACGGAGAATTACCGCCCTCAGCCCCGGCATGGACTTTCAGGACAAGAGATAAATGGTCGTACGCTAGTCGTGGATGTTGCCGAGTTCTACCCTTAAAAAGTTTTCTACTTGTTGTTGCTGTTCGAGAGTTGAGTGAAGGGCGTCCGATTAGGAATCTCGTCTTCCACCTTAGTCAACCATGACTGCTGAAAAAGAGAAGAAGAGGTAAGGCTGTGATTTTTCTCTTCTTTTTTTTTAATTTAACATAATTTGAGCTTGTTCGTTCAGTATTATTAGGAGTCGAGAGTGTTTGTGTTTGTCTTGCTCTCTGCTGCGGTGAGCTTCACTGAGGGTTGGTTTTGACGTACTTCTACCTTTACTGAGCTGCCTTAGTTTGCACAGGTTGGTAATTCACATTTTATTGCTCCAAAACCTGAACGAAACAGATCTTCAGATCTACCCGAGTTTCTCGCGCGGGCCCAGTTTCGCTCTCTGATTTGATCAAAGTAACTGCGCCAGTCGTACCTGTAGCAGGTTGCGTTAGATGGCTACGTCTTCATTGGCCGCCTTCACCCTGCTCTCACTGTGCGGCTAACCAGCTTTTTTAGTGCCGATGCTCATGGAAAGATAAATTGATGAGGTTTTCTAAAAACATGGGTTGTTGTTTGTAGGACAGAGCTGACAGCAGAGAGAGAGAGAGAGAGAAGGAAAACGCGCAAAAAGATCATAACCATAGTTGTCAATTTGCTGTTTATTCTGACAGGTCTGCCTGGGAAGGGCGCTTATACGGCTGTAAATGTGATTTTGTGTTCTTTGTTAGGTTAAGTACAGCTTTTCTTTTGTAATGCCGAGACTCGGTGAATTAAATCGTTTTCCAATTTAGATATGACGTTGTAAGCGGAGGGGTCATAATCGGGCGTTATTTATGACCCTAAATTGTTGGCCTGAGGAAGACAATTACGAATCCAACATGCTGAAATGAAAATGTCCGATTGGTTTAAAGTTCAATGTGAGAGAGCTGAAAATAGCCTGGAGAGCCACGGGGCTAAACAGCAGATGTGCAGGTGGGTTAGTATCTATGTGACAGGGTTGACTTAACAAAGCTTAGCACCAACTGAACTTTTTCATTGTAATTGGTTATAAATCAGTCAGAAGTCCTGAGTAGATTTTTGCTGTAATGAGATCTTATGCTTTCTCATGTTAATCAACATTACTTGTATTTGCATGTTCTTGAATGTGTGGACTGGGTTGCCTTTCTTTTTTTTAATGACAAGAAGGTGGCTTCAGGCCTACTTTGCGTGTCTGTCACCTTTACCCCAGCACATGGGCTTTGAAAGAGAGCAGGCCTGCCCCATGACCCACAGTAATTAAATCAAAATGCAAAAACAAAAAGGAAAAAAGAGTGGCCCACTCGTGTATATATCATGAATATATAGGTTTATATTGGCCCTTTCACATTCTGTCTTCTTGGAGTTACATAATGTGACACAACACTGTGTGAAAATGTAAAAATGAAATGCTTTGTGATGAGATTAGATGCTAAAACCGAAAATGACTATTTGGAACTCTTTAATGAATCTCTTTTTCTGTGCGCTGAAGTGAGGTCCTGTTTTGCATTTGGTGCAAAGGCAACACTGAGTGCCTTTTTATTGCCACCTGCACTGCACTAGTGGGCATGCTGAGTCAAAAAGATCCCTGTTGGTAGCATATTCACAATTCATTAGTCACTCGCAATTGCTTCCTAGACAGCTTGACATGTTGGGCCATGATTGGGTGCTTGTATGGTGGATTTCATGGTATTTGTTGAAGTTATCTTTTTGGTATCCTGCATGTATTACATTCAACATTCAGTGTGTGATATCAGAAATATTGCATTGGAAGATTGAGTTTACAACTGGGAAAAAAATCTATACTTTTTTTCTGTACGGTGAGGTTGTAAGCTGACTCTGGCTGTTGGACGCCTAAGGGATGGTTAAAGAAGGACTGATTTGTTCTCAGTGCTTGGGCCATCAGTTGCTTGTTAGAGGGGACATAATGTTCCAGTGCAGATGGAGATTAGCAGGTAATTGTTCACCTTCCTTTCACAGTGTGGAAAAGCACAGAGAGATGGGCAGCGAGAACAGAACGCTTAGGAGAACACACCAGAGCAGCCGCTGCCTCTTCTACCCTCTGCTCTGGAGCTTTATCAGGCCACTGGCCCTTTGCAAATTCAGATTCAGTTTGGCTCACGTTTCTACAACTCCATTGTCAGCTCTATAATTTAGTCTGATGTCTTCAGAGTGTGGTCTTTAAGCTAAATTGTCCCTTTGGAAGAGGAGATGGTACAGGTGTGTGTGTGCGTCTGTGTGTCTCTTGAGAGAGAGAGAGAGAGAGAGAGAGAGAGAGAGAGAGAGAGAGGGAGAAATGAGATAGATTGGCTTAGTATAATCACATAATCACTCGTAATTACATTATAAGAGACTTTATCTCCCTTTATTCAAATTGACAAGTATTTTTCTCCATGCAGTTCTAATCCTTGCTCTTCATTCTCCAGCACATACATTCTAATACAATAACACCTTAAAAACAATTAATGCTGTTAGTGATAAATGCTTTCCTGTCATAGATCAGGCTAAGGGTTGCTCATAGCTGTCCAGTAGGGGCAGTACAATAATGTGCGGATCCACTGTGCATGAATGGAGGCTCTGTGTGGTCTGCCTTTCTCTGAATTCTGCTCTAATCTTGTTAAGGGGAGAGAGTCAGTGAGAGAGGGGCGAGGGTCAGTTCAGCAATCATGTGATTGCCTGTTTTCTTTTTCTTCTCAATCGAGTGAGCAAAAAGGCCTCAGGCTGTGGGGAATAGGTGTAGGAGTTCGGCCATTGTACATGCTAAAGGGCCCACATTCTAGATTTTTCTAGTATTTTCCTCTTTTTTCCCTGAGGTCCACTTGTGACATTTGTGTGGTCTTATGTACCAAAACGGTCACAATTCAGTTTCATGTTCAAACTTTAAATCAAACAGACTGCTTCTGGTACTGTGCCTTTATATATGTAAATGACCTGTGTTCTTATTGGCTCTTCTGTTTAGTGCCTCACTCATAAAGCAGTTCATGCTGAAAACTCCTTATAACTTCAGCATGAATGGACAAGCTAAACTGCTGTAAACTGAACAGGTGGATGTTAAGGTGTTGCATCATAAAAATCATGCAGTCAAAACTTAAAAATGAATTTCGCAGCTTGATTGTCCAATGATGGAACATATGGCTGTATGAGAAGTGAATGAAACTGAAAGTACTTCAAAAAATTCAAAAATGATCTTTTTCCTGATATAGGCCCTTAAAGCACTGCAAAAATTAGTGAGAACCTCTTTCTTGCCTTTTCTCTCTCCTCCTTCACATACATGCAAATCTGCCTTAGGATTGTTGCTGACCTTTCACCTTAACCAATCAAGAATCTGACTGACACTTTTAATCAAAGCTAGTCTATAAGTAAAGGCCAAGAGGAGTGGCTAGTTGATAGCTGTCGCCTAATGTCTTTAGTGGCTCATTATGGTATAGTAACTCGGTGAAAGGTGCAGGGGAACATTAAGCTGTGTGAATGTGCAAATAACACAGACGTGTCAAAATTGCTGACAGCACACTGTACTGTTCACCTTGACCCACTGTTTTCCTTATCAAATATTACAGCTGCATGCAAACTGCTCTAGTGCATATACATCCAGAAGCCATTTGGCCTATTAAAAGTAGAGCTGCTTGCAGTGCAGGCTCGAGGTGGAGGTCAGCAGCTGGAGTGTGTGGGAACTGGATGCAGTAGCCTGGCCGAGGGCAGGGGACAGTGCAATAGGCCCCTCCATTCTGATGAACAGAGCCGGGGGGAATGGGGCCAAGGAGAGGCCAGGCTACTGCAGAGAGAAAACCACAGCCAAAACTAGCCAATTATGCTGGACTACAGTATATCATGAGCTCTTTCTTGTAATTTATTCAGAAATAAATGGATTTACCTTTACTTTTTGGCCAGTGACCATTTGTTTAGAATGTACATGATCTATATGT